TATCCTGTTGAGGTGTCTGTGTCGTGTGCTCCTGCCACACAAACAGCGTGCCACAGGATATAATGGCCAGAGAAATGCCAAGCAGCCACCTAGGGAAGGGGACTCTGCTGACACAGCATTGCTCACTAGCCAGTTAAATGCAGGGGATGATTCCCAGCTAACAGAGAGGCATTTCCATATCTAAGAGAGGAGAATCTGTTATTTAACTTATGAGGTGGCCAAAATGCAGCCTGCTAAAGGAAGGAATAATGTGAGCTTCAGGATGAACGATTAAACCTGCCTGGACCCTGGAAGATCTCAACGTGAAGTCTGAAGACACAAGCTAATGTGACTGCAAACAAGAAGTGACTTGATGGTGAAGGAAAGGTGAATTGAGGTGAAGGGAGGCTCTTGGAGAGTGACTTTTTACACAGACAGGTAGGGATAGGATAAGGGGGAATGGCTTTAAACTAAAAGATGGGAAATTTAGATAAGATGTTAGGAATAAATCCCTCACTCAGAGCGTGGTGAGGCACTGGAGCAGGTTTCCCAGAGAAGCTGTGGCTGCCCCATCCCTGGGGGTGTTCAAGGCCAGGCTGGATGGGGCTTTGGGCAGCCTGGTCTGGTGGGAGGTGTCCCTGCCCATGGTGGGGGTGTTGGAGTTAGATGATTTAAAAATCACCCCTTCCCTAAAAATCATCCCAGGGCCCTTCCAACCCAAACCATTCTGTGGTGTCCCTGAGACAAGACCCCTCAGAGGCCTCCCAGCAGAGGCACCCAACAGCGACATGCACAGCACCTGGAGCCCCAGCCAAATTTGCTGTGTCTGCTGGCCAAGGGGCAACTTCCCAGTACACCTTCCTCTTTCATTTCCTTGGCTGCCTCTTCTATATGCACCTGTAACTGTGCTGCCTGTTTGGGATGCTATGAATAAATGACTGTATTTGCCTTTTAGCATAACCTGGGTTGAGCTGAGTGTGATTTCAGGTAACTGGATAACAACAAGTCATTCTTTCCCCAAGGATGTGGTGAATCTGTCAATGAGGACCTGGTTTGGATGACAGGTCACTCCTGATATCTTTTTCTCTGCCATCTCAAATGATGAGTGTCCGTGTGGGGTATCGGCTCAAACTGCGGCGCTGAACCATGTTGTAATCAATATGATGTCCCAGGGTGGAATTTCAGTCTTCCTCTTTGACTTTTTTATAAACTTGTAAAATTAAAAACACATACCTACACACACTACAGAGAAAGAACATTAGTAAGGTGTAGCATCTAACAGCCAAATGTTAGTACTAGAATTATGGTCCCCTGTGCAAACTTAATTTGGACTCCTTGTAAGTATGAAAAGCAGTAATGTTTGTAATTACTTGATCAGCCACTGTTTGTTTTCTCTGGTCCCTGCATCATTTAGTATACATTCAACCCACTCCGGGGACAATCAGTGGTGCACAGGACATCTCTTCCCTCTCATTTTGTATACAGTGAGGAAGATTGTCATGAGTGAGAGAGCTGCATCCTGCTGGGACAGGGATTCTCTCCCTGCCTCCTCAGAGAGCCTCCTGATGGCTGGAGAAGTCAAGCAAGTCCCCACTGTCTGGTCACCAAGTCCCTGATTTGAGACCTTGGGGTCTTACCTCCAGGAGCACTAGCAGCATCACATGGCACCAAAGTTATGGGGCTGTGCTAAAGAAACTGAGCACTCCACATCACCCCCCCTCCAATTAGCTGTCACTGTTACCTCTTTGTACTTTCGTTGGTATGTCTGTGATCACTTCATGAGGACACTGTGAATTTTAACTCATTCCTACATCACATGCATATAGAAGTTTGAAAATTTTTGACTAAATCAGTAAAAGAGCTACTGACTGCACAAGAAGACTTAAGGGTTGAAAACAGCTTCTCATTAATTGAGCAAGTGCTATCTGCTCAGCTATCTTGTGATCTGTGGGGAGAAAACAAAAAAGGTATGCAAACATTTATAACACAATATCACATTTGGTAGAGCACAGTGACTTTTTAGTATACAACTTTTTCATATCACTTTTAAGTGAGACATATTGAGATTGACCAGGTATTGCCTACATTTGGACTGCCCAATTTTGCAAATCCACTAATGGTGGTGTGACATTGTTTATAAGTTGTGTAAAAAGTGCATTTACGTGCATGTTACCTATATCTACATCTACAATGTATGTACAGCATGCATGGATACATAAATAACACACCCAGACATGTACATATAATTTTGGATGCCAAATTCTATGCCAAGAAAGGCTCAGTCTGTGTCCCAGAACTTTATAGCTTGTATAGACTTAGTCAGGATTGTACGTACACATAACACTGACCAATGACAAGATCATTTCAAATCTCTCTTGTCTCAAGATGTATATGGCGTATTTTATCATTTCATTGCTGTTAGAAGTATACCATGAAGGGGCCTTTCAGGATATTTTCATACCACTTAATAATTCATGCAAAATACATCCCTGTGTTATTTTTGATTCTGGGAAAGTTAACTACAGACTCAAGACCAGATCTTCAGTGGATGTAAATCAGCATAGCCACTGTTGAGGTCAACTGAGCAGAAACAGCCTGTGGATTTATCATAGGAATAGTAGGAAAATTCACATTGGATGGGACTTCAGGAGGTCTCAGGTCCAACCTCCTGCTCAAAGCAGGGCCAGCCCTGAGCTCAGACCTGGTTGCTCAGGGCTTTGTCCAGTTGGGTTTTGAAAACCAAGATAGCCAAGATGGCACATCCTCTTGGAGCAACCAGGTCCACTGCCTGGCTGTCCTCATGGGCAAAATCTTCTCCTTATATCCAACCTGAACCTCTCTTTTTCTGTTTACACCCATTATCTCTCACCTTCTTGTTGTGCAATCTTGTGAGGAGCCTAGCTCCATTTCTTGACGACCCCTGCTAGCTGATGTTGCTGATGTTGGCCGTTAGGTCCCCCTGAACCAATTCTCCAGGCTGAGCAAGTCCAGCTCCCTCCTGCTCCTTATGACCCATGTGCCAATGCACTGCTTCATCTCCTGAAGGTGAGCAAAAGCACCCTGTTCCCCCTCTGGGAGTGGGGGACTGAGCCCTCATGCATCCCACTTGCATCAGGGTGTTTTTGAAGGATGGATCTTGCAACATCCACTGTTTTCTACTCTTTTGCTTATAATTCTGCACAGGTATTGATTTTTTTTTTTTTTTTTTATGATAATGTTGTCTTTGTCTCTCCTTCATCAGAAAGTGAGAGAGGTTGGATTGCGTTATCTCTCACCCTCAGCTTGGTGCACTGAGCTGCAGTGTCATTTTTCAACCAAAGCTGAAAGACTTGCTCTATCTGGGCAATTTTGATTTCTTACTTTACCCACTCCCTTCTCCCTCCTCCCTGCAACAAGATGAAAACATCAATATCTGTTTTGGGCTCCCAAGGTATGACACAATGTCAATGGAATTTGTTTTTAATCTGGGTGACTAACAGTTATCTGACAATTCAAGTAATATTTCTCCACATCCATCCATCAAACTCTAGCCAACTTACAAGGGGAGACAGCATCAGATTTAGCAACCAAACAAGCCTGTTAACACCCTGGGATTGTACCTCTAACTCCCCGTGATACAATTTTCCCCCAGCCTATCCCGAGCTGCCCTTTTCATTTTTTATTCATGCAAAATTACAACTCTTGTGCTTGAAAGTCATCCTCTTCTTTTCTGGGGCCGTTTCCTACAGCGAGCCAGGTCAGGCAAGCTATTATTAGGACCATGTTTATTTATAACAAGCAGTTTAGCATCCAGCAAGGAGCGGGGACAGGCTGCGTGGTCCTGGAGGACGATGGCAGGCTGGCAGTGCTGTTGTGAGCTCGTGCTGGAGGCGCAAGGCTCCTGGCCGTGCCGTGCTGCAGGCAGCTCGTTGCCTTTATGAAACAGGATGTCGAGAGCAAAACGAGGGCAGGCTGGAGCCGAGTGACATGGGCAGTGCAGGGCTGACAGCCCTCCCTCCCTTCCAGGCTGCAGGCAGGGCTCACAGGACTTAGACCAATATTCAAAAGCAGGGTCTTGTGGTATCCCTCATTTTGTGTCCCCCCTCCCCCCACACACACCTTGCTTTCCCCCTGACCTTTTTGGTTTATTGCCCCTTTTCTGTTGTGTTTAATCCAGCTTGCTGGGCTGCATTCCACAGTTTTCTGCACATTTCAGCAGCGCATTCAATCAGCATAATTACAGAATCACAGAATCACAGAATGGCCTGAGGTGGGAAGGGACCTCTGGAGATCATCTGGTCCAGACTCCCTGACAAGCAGGATCACCTAGAGCACATTGTGCAGGATGGCATCCAGGTGGGTTTTGAATATCTCCAGAGAAGGAAACCACAGCCTCTCTGGGCAACCTGTGCCAGTGCCCTGTCACCCTCACAGTAAAGAAGTGCCCTCTCATACTCAGCCGCAACATCCTGTGCTTCAGTTTGTGCCTGTTGCTTCTCATCCTGTCACTGAGTACCACCAAAAAGAGTCTGGACCCATCCCCTTGACACCTCCACTCAGGATATTTACATACACTGATAAGATCCCCTCTCAGCCTTCTCCTCTCCAGGTTGCTGGGCTGAACAGGCCCAGCTCTCTCAGCCTCTCCTCCTATGACAGATGCTCCAGTCCCCCAGTCATCTTCACAGCCCTCCTCTGGACTCACCCCAGTAGCTCCATATCCCTGTTGTACTGGGGAGCCCAGAACTGGACACAATGCCCCAGGTGTGGCCTCTTCTCGGCCCAGCCCTCTGGCCTGTCCAGGCCCCCTGAATGCACAGCACAGCCCTCTGGGGTATCAGTGAGTCCTCCTCACAGCAGGCTCACTGCAGAGGTTTCAACCCTTCCTCTCCCCATGAATGTGAGCAGTAGCCAGGAAAATGATGCTGGGGATTGATGAGGGGCTAAGCTCTCCTTTTTTCCTTCCTCCAGTAAATCTCCACCGGCACTTTTCATCTTATCGGTTTGCATTTGGTAGATTTCTGCTTATGCTTTTGAGGAGGTAGGTGCCCTACTTCGATGTCTAGCATCCCACAATGACATCTGTGCTTTCACATCCGTCCCTCTGAGTGGGAAGCTGTGACCATGGCTGTCAGGAGACCGATGTCCAAAGCAGCTACCACCGAGATAAATCCCACAGACCTTATTCAGTTCTTAGCTTGGCAAAACCCCAGTGAAGATAAGGAGAGTTTTAACTGATTGAAGATGTCAGGTTCCAATAATGAGCATGGCCATGGTTCCTGAAATCTGTTTTCATGAATTTGCTCAAGACTATTCAGAGGTGTTTCTGACATTTGGCAACATTAATATTTAAGCCTTCCTGTGTTATTTTTGCTAAAGGAATTAGAAATTAGCATGTCATGATCATAATACAGCAGCTGAAAATAAAGGGCCAGATTGTGCCCTCAATCCACACGCACAATTCCCACTGATGTCATTGGAAATTGTGCGTATGCCTCTGAGGGCAGAATTTGGCCTAGCCTGCCTCTTCTCTTCTTGCAGCGTGCATATTGCACTTGCTGCTGCTAACAGCAGTGCTGTGCAACAAGAGAGGAACCCATGCCTAAATTATTTAGCAAGTTGATGACCTGCAGAGTTTTTTCCTTCCTTTTTTTGGTAAAGAGTGAAACTGCAATTCTTCTAATAGCTTAAATTGATGCTTTTGCAGACGGATCCTGCAAAGAAGGGGATGTCTCTGGCAGATGAGCATATTGGAGCCCGGACAAATGGGCTCAGCACGTTTCTGAAAAGAGTGACAGAGATGTCACTGGGACTGCCGTGGGGCAGGGGTGATGGCGGGGTGACCACTGGTTGCTCATTCCAACTCTGGGTGATAAAACACTGCATCATTTCTTCCCCTGATGGACTTGGCCTATACTAAATGCTGTCCTAAAGAAGGATGCTTTCCTGAGCCAAGCCATTTGGCTGTAAATTTTTTCTACTTCATAAGTCATCAGAAGAATGGATGCTTACACTGCATTTATAACTATTAAAAAAGTCTTCAATAGAAAAATTGCTCAGAAGATAGGGATGGGGATAGTTCTTTGAAAAATATTCTTCTTCCTTTGCTTTCCTCCCCCAAAATATTCAGAAGTAAACCAATCTTGAAAACAGCTTGATTCATCAGCAACAGAGTACTCTCATGTAGCAAAATCAAAAAAAAAGGTGTCAGCTGTGACAAGACTGTATGTGCTATATGTACGCTTTAAAAGTGAGTGGTAGCAGACATTTTGAGACACCATATTGTGATGTAGCAAACTACATAAATACAAATCTTTGCTGCTGAAGCCAGGGATCTGACTCAAACCCTGACAAAGTCTGAATGACTGCTTTTCCATTGACTTCGTTGGCGTCTGTCCTGCTCTAGGTGCTCAGAAGGGCAACTTCCAAATTGTGCTCCATTGGTCACTGCTGCTGAAACTGCAGAGAGATGAGTTCCCACTCCCCTCGCTTGTCTCCAGCTGTTAAATCGCAGTAAGAGAAACACACCAAATACTTTCCAACTGCTCTTTACCCGTGATAATAATTGCTTCATCATAGTTACCACAGGGATCCACTGCCATCATGACTAGAAGGAAATATAGTCCATATGGGGGGAGATGGTCCATTACATATCTTGCTGTTGAATTTGAATCAGCCTGTAAAAAAAAAACAAACTGAAAGGAGTCTACCATGTGCTGGATATTCAGAGGTGATTAGTCTTTCCTGGGCTTCCACTTTGAGACAGTAGATTTTTAAAAGATGGACATGAAGTGTGAGCTCTTCCCCAAAGAAGAGCATGTAAACTGCAATCCCTACCCCATAAAAAGCTACAGTCCATCACTTGCCACTTCTGCAAGTTTAGGATTTCAGACACAAAGAAATACAATGGAAAAAAAATAAAATCCAACTTTTTTTGGTCTGTGATTATGCCATACAATCAGCAAGACCAAAGCCAAAACCATCAGCAGCAGAATTACACATCTGCTGACATAACTATAAAGAAGAATTAATGCTGAAAGTAGTGAAAAGAAAACCATCACACAGGATTCTGTACACTGTACTTTAGGATCGGAGAAAATAAGAGGCTTTCAGAGCTCTGGGACAGCATTTCTGGCATTACTATTATTATTAAACATTTTGTATGAAGTAGTTATGGCAGACTGGGGAAGAAGGGGTCAGGGGTTGCAAATCTTGCTGTCAGTACTAAGGCCCTGCTCCTGCTCCCAGTGAAGGGAAAAGGACATCTCCTGAGGCACATCAGAGAAAATATATGAGTTGACACTTTAAAAATTAAGCGTCCTAGAATCGCTGTGTCGATTATTATCCCAGAGACAGCTTAAGCGATTTGCGCACAGTCACAGAGCGAATTGGGGCTGAGCCAGGAATAGAAGACCAGGCTCCCAGTTGCTGGTCTTGCTCTCTTACCACTAGGCACATCCCCAGCTGTACGCTGAAATCCATGTGGGGAAGAAAATCCAAAATCAAAGATTTATCTCACTTTTAATGCAGCTTCATACTGCTCTGCAGCACAGACACAGAGTCAAATGTTACTGCCCTGGCTAAGCAAGATAACTCACTGATTTCAAAGGAATCGCTCACCTGATGGATTTTGGCTTCACAGCACCAAACAAATCATTCAAATCCCTACAGCATCAATGCTCGCTGGGAGAAGAACAGACCAAGTGGTAGCCTGGGATTAGTGGCTTGAGCAATTTCAGATAAACCTATTATATAAAATTACAGTTGTGTGTTACTAATGGGTTCTTCACTCATTAATATGCAAAGGAAAATAACTTTGCTAGAGCTCTTGGTATCACCTGGCTATGCGGAGTGGAGAGGTTAAATACAGAACAGACCACACTTGTAAGAAGATTAATGCATACAACAGGGATAGTAGCAGGCTTCTGCTGGCTCTAATCTGGCATCTGACCGGGACAGGGAGAGAGAGAGAGAAGGAAACTCTAAGCCAGTTAAAGTAGTGGATTATTGATGACAGAGGATTCACAGCTGATAGGGGAGCTGGAAAGAGCAGGTACTAGGGATGAAACACAGGGCAGAGCCCATAGCAAAAAGACAATTCTAGATTTTACAGGGAATGCCTAAAACATGGAAAGGAAAGCAGTGGGTAGAACAACAATATCAGCTTTCCACAACTACAGGGTTGGGGTGAGCAAGGGGAGAAGAATCTGTGCAGGTCCCAGCTTCCTCTCTAAAATTACATTTTACACACCAAGGTTAAAAACAAACAACAAACAAACAAACAACAAAAAAAAGACACTAAGCTATTTGAACAAGGATTTGAACTTGGACAAATAAATGAACTGAAAAGGGAAAAAGTCTTCCAAGACCTCCCTGCCGTCCTCTGCTCAGACAAACACTGGGTGGAGAAAAGCACTGCAAATTACTAACAGTTACAGAAAGTCTGGCGAAGACTTTCATGTAGTTAATGTTATCTTGGGGAGGAGGCAGCTGGGAGTAGGCTGGGGTAGCACCAGGCTTCTGCAGCACAGCTGGCTAATCAGGATAAACCCCAACAGCCACTTTTAATGATGGGTAATTTTAAAGAAAATGACTTTGTTAAAGTTCTGGAGTGATGTTTAGCAGTGACATTTGGGAGCAGCTTGATTCTTTTTCTTTGCTTGCTTGGTCCTGAAGAAGGGTGGTTGAGGCACTGAGTAGGGCCCCAAGGTATCAGGAGTATGTGACATATCTGAGGGGAGAAATGGAAACCAATTGCCTACACCAGTAAGGAATTTGGCACAGCAAAATGGCAAATTCACAGTCCGGAGGCATTTATTAGGATTTTCGTATTATACCTGATGGGCTGAGTGGAATTATTAATATAATTCCATTAATATGCTTCTAGGCAATTAAAATCATTATGCTCCCAGGGTTTCTGCCCTAGGATAGAGTTTGTTAAAACCAGCACTGTTGGAACTTCTTAGATTTTAAATTTCTTCCTGTAGCTCTTCTCTTTGTCTCATAGATAGAGCCTGGTGATGCTACAGGTATGACTGAGATGATGTCTCTGTTCCAAGTTGTTGGTATTTCAGCATGAATTTTCTTTTCATTTGGGGTGTGAATAGGACAACTTGTAGTGATGTGTTAAGAAACCGTACTACAGTCTGGGTCATGATTAAGTTACAGTAAAATTACAGACTGTCTAGAAGAAAATGAGCAATCTCAGCTGTGAATATTGTAGAATGCATTATCTCACAGATTTATTTATTTCAATACTGCCTGTTTAAAATTCTGCAGGGTTCCTTGAGCTGTATATAGGTGCTAATTTAAGTCAGAAAGGGAAAAAAAAGAAAAAAGGATGTATGTTGAATTATATTTGTGCATAGAATTCACAAAACAAGATTGGATTTTGATCCACTTGTTTTTGTTGAGACAGTAGATACTACTAATAGCTGTTACTTCAGAGTAAGTTAAAGAAACTAACATCTAAATGGCTTGGAAACATAATTTCCATGACGGCTTTGTCAATGCACAACCTTTTACTGATTTTCTTAGAGGAATGTATTGGCTATGTAGATACTACAATTTAAAAGCAACTCATTTTCTTTTATCTTAGATCAATTTCTAATCAACTTAGCCATGCAGAAATAAAGTAGCTTTAAGTACTTAAGTGTTTATTGAACATCCACAGTTCTAGTCCCTTGCCAATGCTGGTTTAAATCTACACATGTAGTTAAACTACTCCAGAGATGTATGCAGCCACGTGCCTCCTGTTGGAGCATCCCAGTCATGGAGGATGCTTGATTGCTAGGTTGCTTCATGGCCTGGTGCTGAGCTGTTGCAAATGGGGGACCAGCCAGACCAAGGTCTGCTCCCCAAAATCAGTATGAATAAGAAAACACCAGGTTTTACCTTCTCTACCCTGCCCAACCCTTCTGAGAACTCCCATATGCCCCTCTGCTGCTGCCCATTGCCCTTGGTCCCCTCTTGGTCATAAGTAGATATAACTTTAGTAGCTGCCTTTTGAGCAGTGGGGGTTTGGGATCTCCAGGGACAAGGTAGCACAAAATAAATTACAACAACAACAGTAAAATCAAAATTTTCACCTTTGATGTATGGGCACGTGCAAGCTCATTCATCTACACGCATGGATGTAGCCTTCCCATTGGGCAACAAGCTGAAGGTATTTGTTGAGCATCTAGACTGAAGCTCAGTATCTGAGCTCAGCCTGCATACGTCTTACTTAGTGGTGCAGACACCCCCTCTGAGGGCCAGAAGGGCTCAGGAAGGTCCAGAGCATGCTGGAAGTCACCACAGGTAACCTGGGTGTCAGGAAAATTCATCAGCATGACTTGGGATGTGTGTGGCTAGCTCACAGTCTTTTGGCTCTGTATTCCTACAAACATTGATTCCCTGTCACAGGCATCAGGAATGTTGGGAAAGGCTAAATCAATCGTCATAATCATCACAGCCCCTCAAGAAAGAAGACAATAAATGTTAATCAGTAAAGCAAGAATTAAATACAGTATGTAAGACCTGGGTGGCTATAGCCTTTCAACCAGGCTATATTTTCAACCTCCAACCAGGTTGCAAAGGGTATAATTTATAATTGCATATGGGACCTGCATGGTAAATGGCACTGAGCCACCCTTATCCTTTTCTCCTGGTCAAGTCACGGACATACCTGCAAAAGGAAGAAAAAAACCTTCCACCTCTGAGAGGGGGATGGAAACCAGGCTGCCGAGCTCTCCATTCCAGCTTGTGTGGTCACTGCTGAGTTTGGGTGGCATTTTGAATGCACTGGGGAGGCTGGCTTATACCTGAGACTGTAGCTGTGCCCACACATCCTTAGGGAACTTTGAAATAGCAGAGATAATGTCAGCCCCGTTACCATATGCTTTCAGTCTGCCCGGGCAATGATTGTATAATAATCCCTAACAGAAAACTGAAGACGAGATTTCAAGTGGCTGCCAGAAAACAGTTTTTCACTTAGAGTGGCAACTCTGAATAAGGAAGCATCTGGCACATTTGATCAGACAAAGAAAATTAGGTCACTCAGAAAAATATTTGATGTTCTTCCTGAGGAACATAACACTAAAAATGCCTCTATGTAGAGTGGCAGCATTCTCTTCTTCAGCACCATTTCTCACATTATTATGTTTTGTACTGTTCTGAGTTGCTGCACTATATTTAGTGTCTGTTAAATAGTAGAATATAGATTGTATAATCATTTTTCTCCTGCCAGTGGGTTTGATGCAGTTAACTGTTAGGTGTTTTCTATGAGGCTTTTTTTTTTTAAAAAAAATTGTATTTTGAATGAAAAAAATGTAAATGCTTTTTTGCTTTGTGTTTCTTTTCTTTTGGTTTAAGCACTCTCTGTTCATCTGTCATTCCTGGACAGTCAGAGGAGTGAAGCTTCACTCAAGGGGTCCTGAGGGCAGGAGGAAGCTGCTATATGGCCCCTCGTTGGGGTAGGGGCGAACAGGGGTTGCAGGAGGGTCCTGCCATGTGCTAAGCCTTGCAGGAGGGCTGGAGAGAGAGCCTGACCGTGTAATGCACAGAGTAATACATGTATTTCTGCTGAGTATGCCTTCCTGGGAGCCGAGTGCCCAGCCTGTTCCAGGGAAGCACCTTCCTGAGGTGTTCAAATCAGCTGGGGGAATAAATGCCAATATTTAAAGAACTGAGGTGCTCTGATTATTTCAGAGAAGGGAAAGCCCAGGAGCTGAAAAGCCCAAGTGACTGCATTCATAGCAAAAAAGCCTGCAGTGAGAGCAGCTTCGGGCCTTCACCTGATGGCGGGGCCTGGCTTCTCTTCCACCAGCTGGCCATGCAGCAGCGAAGCCCAAACACCTGGGCATCCGTCTGGAAGGGAGCTGGTCCTGATCCTGACACTGCCAACCAGCACCTGGGTGGCATGGTTTGTCACCCCCGTGTGCTGGTTGCTGCTCGGGGAGACTGGGGAAAACAAGAGTCCTGAAGGCGAGGCCTGGCTAGCTGCAGAGCCAGCCTCATGTGTGGCTTGAGGTCTAATTGCTCATGGAAAAAACACGTATCTCCAGCAATCTTGCTCCATTTAGTTAATTTCCAAGAACGTCTCCTCAAAGGAAGCGACCTAGAGACGTGTTTTTAAGGGAGAAGTGTTGTTAATTTACCTCGATATTTTTGTCCAGCTTCCTAAAACCAGGAGTGGAAGCAGTGACCGCAGATTTTTCAGACCCTACAGACAAACTCCAGCCTGATTTAATGTGTAAAGACATCACTGTTCCTACATTAATCTCTCCAGCTGGTAAATGAATTAGTTTGTGGCATTTTCATTTGATTGTGAGGACGTCAGGTAGCTGAAAAGGAGATCCAAACTGCTGCCTTGGTCTAATTTACTGCAGTGTGGCACTATGGCTGGGTTAGTCAATATAAGCCCATGATTCTTCAAATACTATATAAAGAATTGGACTGAAATACTTGCGTAATACACATAAAAAGTGGTCTTGGCTTTCAAAATGGTTTACACATTGAAATGAATGCATCCTCATCCCTGGGCATATTTAGTGTTGCAAATTTTGTCAGCAGATAAAACGAACTTTTGCAAGGTAAAAAACTTGCCCAAGGTCAAGTGACATGTTAATGTAGAAGGGGAATTATGCTTCAGGAGGTTTCTGGCACTTCATCATGAACTTAGTTCATTTGTCCTGCCTCTTTCCAGTTTCTCTTATTCAGCCTTTAATTTTGTACCAAGGGCTCAACTGCCCTCATAAATCATAAATGAAAAAAAAATGTTGAGAGGCTTCCTTACTTCAATGGCCTCAAAATAGAGTTTTAGCTTGAAACTGTACTTTTGAGAGCATACTAATGCCAAGCATCTGGTGTAAGAGCTGGCTGAACAAAGCGGGTTGTCTCAGCTTCCCAGCACCCATCCCAGCCTGGAGGAGCTTCACCACACACTTCTTTTTTCCCTCCTTCAGGCTAACTATTATATTTCCAATTCATGTGAGTTATTTCACTTTCTCCTTATTGTAAAGTCGTATTAATAGGTAAATAAAAATCTGCATGCATTACACTGTTCTGGGGTCAAGTTTAGTCCACACCAGAGAGGGTTTGCCAGTATGGGTACATCCATGTGCTGACACAATCTCACTCCATAGCCACAGGTTTTTTTTCTTGGAAGATGTGCCATTTGGTTTTGAACACAAATTTGATACAAACTCTATTGGCAAAAACACATTTTTCTTCTGGGAGCTGTAGATAGAGTAGGAGATTTACTAATATTTATATTTTATCACAGGGATGTCCCTAACCTGCACTTTATACCAATGGCCATTAATATTGTAGCTTTCGACAGAATCCTAGTATTTTGCTGCAACTCCCAGAGAATACTGCACTGAAAGAAACTGCATTTTATCATTTATTAGACGTTTTCTTACAAAATAAAACAAGACGGCAAAAAACCTTCTTTTGTAGCACAGCAACATTTGCTTTCTTTCCTCTACTGACCCTCCAAAATGAAAGTTCAGGGAGCATATGTCAGCTAATCCCAAAGTCTGTGCTAAGAACACGATGGAAACTCTCAGAGAGTTCAACAGAATCTCAATGTCTCGCTGGTTCGGTACAAGATTACGCTCCCAGCAGATAAGCCCCTGCATTTTGACTTGGAAGCTCAAAAGGGATAAATAACATTTCTGAAGCCAGCCAGCCAACAAACGGAATTTCTTAGTACAATGCAATCTTGCTGTGGGGGTTTTCCTGGGCATGTGGTTCCCATCAGGCGTTATTACACTGCTGTGTACTCGGGGCTTATCTCCGAGCGAAGGTGGTAACACTCGGCCATTGATACCCTGCAACTCACTGAAGTTGTAAGATGGGTGAGAAAGGATTTCTTGAGCCCTTTGATTCACAGCTGATACTTATTAAATAAGTTTAAGGATGTGACATCACTATTTGTCATAAATGTTCTTGTTATGGTAGGGCGTGTATGGGGCAGGAGGGGTGAGGAGTTGTCATCATGTAGATAACGAAATCATTAGTAATGAATAATTCGCTGTGCAGAAAAAAAGCAACAGACAATGTCAGGCAACGGAACAGTGCTAGTTCAGTTACATCTTTTCTTGTGTCTCCGATGAAAGGTTTTTAACCCTGATTATACCCTGTCTTAACAGTGAGGTTTGCTTTCTGTAGGGACATTCAGCTCCAGGCAAGGTAGAAGGATGTTCCCAAATCCAGTAACTGGGTCAAGTCTAATTATCATAGATAATTCACATGTTTCATTTATGGTAAAGGAAATTTTGTCTCAAGGTAGGTGAATCCAGTTTGGTTCATCAAAGACAGACTGAGATAACTTCTAAACCAGAAGAAAAAAGGTCTTTTGTGAGATCCTAGACTGAAATAGGAAGACAATGTTGAAACCCTCATTCTGAACTATTTTCAACAATAAAATTAAACAAAGCTGTCACAGGCAGTAACCACCCTCCTGAATTTCCCGTGTCCAAACCCTGGAGTTCCCCTCTTGTCCGAAAGTCATCATTTCTATTTGGAAAACAGTTCTGTTGGATTTCAGAAATTGATTTTCATCACTTGAAGCTGGAGTTGGAAGGATTGTTCATCAATGCCTTCTTTGCTCTCTCTATACATTGTATTAAAAGCAGCCTGGCCAGATGTGAAAAAGCTACAGAAACTCTCAGTGAAGAAAACAGATTAAAATGTTTTTTTTTTTTTGGTTACAGTAGAAAGCTTATTTCTTTCTATAATCAGTTTCTTTAAGAGACTTTCTTAGAGCATGTGTTTGTTTCCTCTCTGTCTCCTCTGTCTCTCTGTTCAGAGAAATAATAAATTCAGAACCCCTCATAAAAATGGACACAGCTGTAAAGACTGGAAATTTTTAACATTTTGGCACTTAGTATCAGCAAATAGCTTTACAGAAAAACATCCAGTGCTCTTGGATAAGCAAATTCCAGTACACATTCATAAATGTTCCTAAATTTAATATTCAGTGTACATGTCAACTTTCTGAAAAAGGATGTGCATCTGGCATATTAGATGCAGCATTTGTTTATGCACAGAGTGTATACATACAAGTATTCGGGCCCAGGTGCTTGGTGAGAGCAGACTCAATCAATATGTCTATGTGTTTTTCTCTGCTTCATTTTTCCACTGTAAGGTATTTGTTCCCTAACATAGAGATGTGGTGAAAGTATTCAAAATGCAAGTGCAGCTATTCATAATAGAGGCTTTTTGAAAAGGAAAAAGGAACAAGAGGGAAGGGAAGGGAAGGGAAGGGAAGGGAAGGGAAGGGAAGGGAAGGGAAGGGAAGGGAAGGGAAGGGAAGGGAAGGGAAGGGAAGGGAAGGGAAGGGAAGGGAAGGGAAGGGAAGGGAAGGGAAGGGAAGGGAAGGGAAGGGAAGGGAAGGGAAGGGAAGGGAAGGGAAGGGAAGGGAAGGGAAGGGAAGGGAAGGGAAGGGAAGGGAAGGGAAGGGAAGGGAAGGAAGGGAAGGGAAGGGAAGGGAAGGGAAGGGAAGGGAATATATACATTGTAGAATGTTCCATATGTGTGATATAGAACTGACTACTGAAAAATCAAAGAAATTACAGGAAAAGACCTTTTCTTTTCTTTTCTTTTCTTTTCTTTTCTTTTCTTTTCTTTTCTTTTCTTTTCTTTTCTTTTCTTTTCTTTCTTTTCTTTTCTTTTCTTTTCTTTCTTTTCTTTTCTTTCTTTTCTTTTCTTTCTTTTCTTTTTCTTTTCTTTTCTTTTCTTTGACTAATACTAGATGTGTATTTCATTACTTTCACCATAAAATCCAAGGATGCTCACATGCACTACTTCAGCTTGTGTCCAATTTTAATACCTCAGGCTAATTTCTGCCTCCCGACTTCTTCTTTCTTTATTCAGAAGGAAGTGGAAAGACAGCTGGGCATGCTGTCATGCTAGGAGTCTCAGAAGGTATCAGCTCTTTCATTAATTACTTCTTTGTTCTCCCTCTGCTTTATGTTAAAAACAGCCTAGTTGGGTATGTAGAAGTTGCATAGGCTTCAGTGAAAACGTACTTACGGGACCCTTTAAACTGTCAGGTTACATCACATAAACGGAGGGGATCATATTCAAACAATTGTAAAACTATTTTCTTGCCCGAAAGAGCACACCATGATGCCATTTAGCTGGAACCTGAAGCTATGGGTATCCTGCTGTGGTATCATGTGCAGCAAGCGCATGTGATTGTTCTCCTGAGGCATTTGTTACATGCATCTTGTTAACCCTAGTTCAGTCAAAATAACTGCCTTCTCTGCTGCTTGACCTATTTTAGCATAATTTAGCCCTGAATGCGGTGCATTTCAGTTGCAGTAAGCTATTCAGCTGGCATTAATAGCATGGGAACTTAAAATGGAACCATAAGAGTTTGAAAATATCATTCTTATTAACTCAACAGTTTGGTTTCGGTAATTTATGCATCTTTCAGAACTGACCTAATACTTAAATGTACATAAAAGAGCGAGCAGTAATCAATCCCAGACTTAAAAGATTATTTTCCTGGTAACAAACCAGCCTTTACCCAGTCTGTGGAAAAAGGAGTGTATTTAAGACTTCTCTAAGCCTTGTTAATAGCTGTACCTATAGGAGTCATAAAATTACATCATTGCTAACAGTGAAATGAAGATTAACTGCCATTTCTGCAGCAGAAAGAATAGACTTGGATTTGTTTAAGGCTTGAGCACTAAAGGCAAGATCCAGACTGCTTCATTACCAGGATAAAGGTCTGAACCCACTAACTCTGGCTTAGCACCAGGCTAAAGAGGAAACAGAGCAAATACAATAGGAAAATGCTGTGGTGGGTAACTCTTGTGTAAGGGCTTCTGCATTGAAAAAGGGGCAGAAGGGAGGCCCCAGAGTGGCTCCCAATATTTTTTCCCACTAACCATCACATGAAAAAAAACATGTGAGATGCAATGAGCAAGACCCTCCCAGATGAGACCCATGACCACCACGAAGGGGGTAGCACCTCCCCAGCTCCTACATCAGTGCCTTGGATGTAAAAGAGGACTCCAAGGCAAAGGGGCTGGTAAGGGTGGTCAGGAATAATGTCCCCATGCTATAGAGGAGGTCTCTAGACCATTGCCTGCATCGTGGCAGCTCCCTGCTCAACAGAGAAGACTTCTGGAGTGCCCCTCTGCACCAGTTACCCTCCCCACTGGCAGAATCAGATTCCCAGTTACCAAACTGGGTGGTCTAGGTGCCTCTCCTGAGGCCAGGCAACTATTGTCGAAATGCCACAAAATCTAAGCCAGACACTTTGAATTACGGAGTCCGCCTCATGCACTAAAATCTGGTTTAGGACAGCTCTACGCAGCTGGTAAGGCTGCCATAAACCTCTCGTCTATTAGCACACGGATTGGCATAGCCTTTTGTTTTTCTTTTTTAAGGATCACTGTGTGCTTAAGGTTAGGCACACACTTACAGACCTTGTTGAAGAGGGGTTGCTGAACGTGGCTCCTAGTCCTTGCTTCAGGACCTGTTGTACAGTGAGCTATCGTGACCTAAATATCGTGCCCTGTCCTGACACTCCTTGTCACAAGGGGAAGACCCATTCTGCAAGTTTTAAGGGTATATAATTCAGCTGGGGGGTAGGGGGGGAGAGACAGGAGCTGAGAGTTAACCAGTACTGGGGCTCTTCCTTCATTCCCTCAGGCTTAAATTAACCTGACATAATTCAATCCATACTCGCAGCGTTTTGGCAAGGCGGGTAAATTACAGTTTTCCACGTACAATCTTTGTGAGCTAGCTGACTCACACCGGTGCCCACAGTTCAGATTTCCAGGTTTGGCCAGGGACTCATGGTCCCAAACGAGCATCCTCAGAGGCAAAGGTCCATCCCAGCCTGGCTTCAGAGGAGGGAGCAGGAGCCGGAGCTGCTCTCAGCAGACCTCGCGGCAGAAGGGCTCTGCAGTAACTTTATGTGGAGTCGAACTTGACTTCACTTGTCAGCCGGCTCTGTGTGACTCACCGAAGGTGCTGAACAGACTAACGAGTGGGAGGAGGAAACAGGGGGAGAGGAAGAAAGGGAGACAGGCAGCCGAATGAAAGCAGGAACACTGATTTATGAACAAAAAAAAAGAAAAGAAAAAGAAAAAAAAAAAAAAGAGGCTGTTTTTCAGAAAGTTACACTAGTCCTTTTCCTGCTCTAATATGAGTGGCATACAATCCAAGATCTCCCAGGTTTGAGGAAAGAAAAAAAAAAAAAAAAAGTGAATCAGAACTTTTAGCTAAAATGAGATAATAACACTTTTAACCTGATCGTTATGATGGAACTCCAGGGGTTTGATTTATTCAGCTGTCACTTACCGCACATCCCAAGTGTAACAGGAGACATGTTGGAAGTGCAACCTTTATTTAGGGTTTGTTGGCATGATTTCATTTTATACTGGCCTTCTGGGAGTTATTTTTCATCTTTAGGCAGTTACCACTGCTAACAGGAAAAGGGAAAGCCTTTTTTTGTTAGCTCCTAGTGCAGCGTGGTTATTAAGGAAGGTGGAATTCGAGCCTGCTGGGGTGCGAATCAGAGCGTCGTGGGAGATGACTCCCAGCCCGCGATGGGAAGGGGATGCTGCCGCCGTGCCTTTTCGTTACAGCACCAGAATTGTTGGAAGAAGTGACTACTTTGGACTCCCCTTGTTTGAAGATGCTGCAAAAGAGCAGGTAATCCTGAACACTAACCCAGATTTTTTTTTTACTGGCATTGAAAAGAGGGTATTTCCTCCAGGGAATTGTGATTGGCAATGGGATGTGTGATGGCTCTACAGGCCAAAAGTCAGGTTTGTTATTTCTCCGGGAGAGGCTCCCTGCATCCTGACCTGGCTGTGTCTCCCCTCTCTCCCCCATCCTACTTTCAGTCCCGCCGGGGTCTCCTGGGAGCAGTTTCTCATCGGAGACTGTGGGTTTGCCAAACTCTGCAGTGGTGCTGAGATGTACACACACACACAAACAATTTTGTTGAGATAATTGTGTTCACTCAAGAACCAGATTGAGATTTACGCCCCAGTGTCCATAAATAAAGGGCCACGGAGTCTCTGGTTTGAACACAAACATCCCTGCCCACCCGCTGCCCTCGGATGAACCTTGTGGGGGGGGACTGCAAGATTCCTCCGGTCGGACTCCCGCGAGGCACTCCGTAAGTATTGCGAAGTGGCTTTTCCACCCAAAGAAAGGCTGACATGAAGGTACATCAAAGAAAACAATGAATGCCTCCTGCTCTGACCTACATATTTCATTCTGAGAGACTCGGCTACATCTGCTAGATCACTTGGAACAACTGTTATCCTTTAGAAATGAAAAATCATTTCTTCGGGGAATAAGATTGGGAAAGGGGGGGACCCTGTAGTGGCTCGCCAGGGCACAGAACATTTAAACTCTGCTGTATTGATTGTAGTTTATGATTGAATGCAATCATTACTGTGTCTATATTTTTCTGTTTCAATGAAACCATCAGGCAGTGAGTCATGCTGTGCATGTAACCTGGAGGAAAGTGCAAAGAGGCTGCTGAGGAGTAGCAGCACAAAAATACCATTGGCATCTTTTCCCTAGGAGAGCAGGGCTCTGGACAATTTCCACAGTCTATTGCTGTTTTTCTATTACATGCATTCTCCACTAAAATGTGTAATAGAATTGAGGACACAGTTATGAGTAAAGAGTCTTCTCGCACATGCTGTTCCATAATTAAAGAACAGCTATAATAGAAATCCTACTTTCTTTTTTTTTTTTTTCTCCTCTTGCATTAACGAGCTCAAATTCTTATAGGCATTAAAAGGGCATATGCTTTTTTTTTTTTTTTCTAATTTAGAGATTAAAAAATCTCGCAGCAGATCAAGAGGAATGCTGTAGTTTGAACTCTTTAGTGAAAGAAGATGCACTATCATTAGCAACAAAACAATTTTAATTAGCCCACTCCTGGATATGCGGTGACACACGCCAAATGTATAGAAGTTTGGGAGAAGAGGAGATATTATCCTCTTGGCTTGCTGAAGAGGGTTCAAGTCCATAAGAAATGAACACCTTTCAAAGTATTCTAATTTGCAATTTTTAATTACCTAAGCTTTGTTCTGTCTTTTTTTTTTTTTTTTCCCAATGAAGGTAGTCAAATGGGGAGGAGATTTCCCCCTCCCCACCCGAATTGTGCTTCTCTCAGCTCCACTCGCGGATGGAGAGTATTTTTATTAAGCCTGAAGAGGAGAAAGCCATCCTAATTAGCAACGCCTCGTTGCATCGAGGGCTGTGGCTACCAACCTGCGGCGACGCAGTGGGAAGACATGATTGCAGTTTGATTCAGCGGTGCCAGGCACTGAGCAAAGATTACGCACTCAAAGACAGGCACCCTGTCTGGGAGCACAAGCGAGGAACGCGGTCCTGCCTGCACTGAGCGGGGCCACAGCGCTGCGTGAGCAGCGACAGCACGTCCTCGCTGCTGTGGTTCAACCAGGGGAGCCAGAAGTCTCAGCTCTGCTGTGTTAAAAAACGCATGGTTTTGAAGGAGTTGCCCGCAAACCTCAGCTCTGGGACATGCCATGTGCCAAAACCACCCCAGCAGCTGCGTGCTGCAGCACAGTGGCTTGCCTCTTGCCCCACTGGAGCCTGGAAGGATTTTAAAGGGAAAGGCTAATTGCAACACAGGGTAGCTGCGTGCCTGAGCTGGCTAAAATATAAGTCCCAATTTCTCATCCCCCTTCTTGCCAACTTATACCAGACGTGGAAAGTAGCTGTGGAGCTGCTGTGATGGTGTCTGGTGGCACTGTTTTGGGGGTATAGCTCTGCGGCGGTGGCCCTGGCCACTGCATCCAGCTCAGTGCTGAAAATGGGAGCCTTGCGCCAGGGCCATGGGGAGGACACATGGGGCTGGAGTCATGTCAAGGCATCCCACTTTCTACCAAAATCAGATATTAATTGATTCTTTGCTGAAAAAGAGAAAAACAGCTCCAATCCCAGAGCCATCCCCAGGAGGAGCAGTCAGCACTGGGTGCTCCCAGGAGCCCACATGGGTTGACACAGCCTCTTCAAACCTGCAGAGGCATTTAATACCTCTTGGGAGATTTACCCTATTTTTGTGCTATGGTTTGTGTTTTTTGTTTTTTTTTTTTTTTTGGACAATTTAGTCTTCTGGCTTTTAAGTCCATTGTTGGTATCCAGGCACATATCAGTATGTACTCCAAGGTGGTCTCATCAACTGGGATTAAAAGGACCTTGTAAATCCAGCAGGGGTAGCACTGCTGGTGTTTGATGTGATTTACTTTGATAGGATCTTCTCCCTGTTGATGAGAAAGATACACTTGGACTCTTTCAGCAGAGAGTAGTTTGGTTTTTCACCCTTTTTTTCAGCAGAGCAGTGCAAGGTGACATTTTGGCACATGGAGTGTGGTTAAGCCAAGCGATGTGACAAAGAAATAGAGGTAAATGTGATTTTAAAAAAAAAAAATAAATACTAAACGAGAAACAGTGTTATTCTTTTGAAGAATCTCTTTCTTAATGTCTGTTAAAAAAAAACACAGTCACCGCTAGCTGAGCAACAGACCTTCACCCAGTGGCTTTGCTGAAAAAAAGGGCTGGTGCTTTGATAGCAACATCTTTCTAGCTTGTTGAATCCTATGTTGCATGGAAACGGCATAAAACAAAGGGCAGGAATCAGAGAAGTTGGTAACTACACGAACTGAGAATTTTACTTTCTTCCTTTACTCTGGGGCAAAAGTTTGTTTTAGAGCTGTCACATGCCACTGACCCCAGGGGTGACCCAAGCACTCTGCCATTGCCACCACTTTGCTCCCAGTCCAGGCTAGTAGCTAGAAACCTTTTTCTCCTGAAGGTAAATAAAATATATTTGATCTAGATGTCAATCAAATGGCAGAAGCTCCAGAATAACAGCACAGAAGTCCATTTTTTTTAAAATATGAACAGTATTTTAAAGAAATTTGAAACTCATTGGGCAAATACGTCCACCTTGAATATACAAATGAATAGTAATGGTAGTCTGCGTACTCAAATGTACAGCTGTTATCAATTTCATTAGTCACTTCTTGGATCTCAAAAACAAAATCAGAGATTTGCCAACGTTGTCAAAATCCTGCAGTGCTTCCACAAGAAATAAATACTTTGGACGAAACACATTCTGATGCAGCTTTGATATTTGCATTAAATTCCTGTTCAGAGTTATTTCCTTGGGTGCAGCATTTCACAAAACCTCTTCCTTTGTTTAATTGCAATGTATCATATGAAAACACAGGCATTTGGATTTAATTCACAACGGCGAGGTTTACTTCATGATGAAACAGGGCACCCCCTTGGCCCATTTTGTGCTTCCTGCAGATGGTTTGGATGTTGTGAAATAATTTCTAGCATATTCTTCTTGCTTTTTTATTTTGTGTACCCTTTGCTGGCAAACACAGTGTACTGTGGTGGTCTTAAAGCCTATTCAAAAGTGAGGCAAACTCTCTTTTTTTTGGCTTGTTTTCTGGAGCGACATACTACATTATAATGAGGAACTATTTCACGTTCCACTCATCCATCTCAGGGAAACAAGCATAAAAGTATCAGAAGTCATTCATAATCTCCAGAAAATGTTGTTATACACAAATGCAAGGGAAAATGTTTTCCCTCTCTGCCACACAGCCCTCCCAAAGAGCACTTGGTGAGTAACTGATATTTCACTAAAGCCTAGCACTCAAGGAAACTGAGTTGATCAGGAAAATATTCAGGAAAGTACACTCATGTGCCCCAGAGTGTTTGTTTCTCTGTTAAGATAGCAAAACACATGTAAAGCTGGGACCTTTCAGCTAGGCACCACTCACATCTGTGTCTGGATTTGCGTGCGCATACATATGCAGCCCTTTAGTCCCTCTTTAATGCTGAATTTGCTGATGGGTAGATGGATAATGACAGCTTCTATCTCTGGGTGCTTTGATATTTGTGCTACAGATACATTTCATTAAAAGAAATAGTCTGCAAAGGGCAATTTTCGGACACCTCACATAAGTTGTGAGTTTTTGCAAGTCTACTGTGTGTCCTCAGCTATGAGAAGAGTGCTTGAAAACTGAGCTAGCTGCATGAACGAATCACTGGGGAGCCTGAGAGCACGTCCTTCTAAATATATTTGCCTGGGTCAAAAAAAGGCCACGGGGTCTTGCACTGCTCTGCACCAGCATGTTTGTGACCATGTACTCCCCCTTCCCTCTCCTGGGGAGCTTTCTGCCCAGAGAAGTGGTCAATTGCCCCCATTGCATCTCCTGATGGTAAGAGAGCCCAGTGCCAGGTATTGTTGCCCTCAAGCTACCGAAAACCTCCAGTCCCCATTGTCTGCCCTGGGATATCTGAGTAGATGCATTTTTTTTTTCCCTTACATCAGTGTCACGGTGTTTTCTGCAGGATTTTGTCTTTTAAATATTCCCCAGTGCACCTCCAAAGGCATGTTCATTTTTCCTACCTTTTGAAAGAAAGGCTTGGCCTCTCCTCTTTATCACCCAGAAAGATTAAATTTGCTTTGCTACTCATAGTAGATGAGATATACTTCATATTCCAGAGGCAATCCGACTACAAGACCCGAACGGAGCTAGAGTAATTCAATTGACTTCACTGAAGCTGCACTAATTTAGACCAACTATAAATTCATCTTTTCTTGTGAAATATGTCCAGGAGTGACCTTGCACTACCCAACCAATTGAATTTATTCCGGGCAGCATCTCACCCTCAAAATAATGCAGAAATTGGGGAACTCCTTTTTTAGGAAATTGGCTGAAACTTCACATTTCCGCCCTCACAGAGTAAGTCAAAGGGCACTACTGGAATAAAGATGAGGGCAGAATTAGGTCAGTGTCTTACATCATCCACATGCTAACTATAATTTATCCACAGTGCTTTCAAGATACAGATGAGGGAGACACAGTATTTTTGGCAGTATCTGTCTTTCCTCTCCTTGCCTGTTCCCTTCTTATCACAGTAACTTTTTTCTTCCCTTCAAAGATGATTTCTTTCTGGATAAAATAAAAAATAAAATAACCACTCTGTATAATTTATTGATGATTAATATGAAATGCAGAAGATCAAAGATCCAGGTGGCTACATAAAGACTGGGAGTCTGCAAGAGAGATCTTTGCAACCTTTTCTTAAGCCATTTATGTTTCATTTATTTGTTGGAGGTCACAGCTCTTGACAGGAGAGTCAAGAGAGTGCAACCACAGGGAGGACTGTGGTGCTTTTCTAGCAAGGAAAGGGAAAGCAAAAATGATCACAGGTAGTTTTCTGGACAGGGCACCCAATTTCAAGCAATGAACTAGGTCTAAGGCCAACCAGTCCCAGACATGTCATCCCACCTGCAGTATCGTTATGGTCTCAGTGATCTCAATCCATACGTGTTGGCTCATTCAGATTGAATGTTGCTGGGATATTTGGGACAGCAATGGAAAAGACCTGTTAGCATGAACCTTCCTGGCCTTCCAAAGCCAATGTGAAAAGGCCACTCTCCGGAGTACTCAGGAGAGCAGGGGAGAAGAACATACATTTTCTTTTCTATGTGTGTTAGATATTCTCAAAACAAACAAACAAAAAACAAACAAAAACAAAAACAAACAAACAAACAAAAAAAACACACCACCACCAAAAACACTAACAATTCAGCTCAACCTAACTTTACTTACTGTTCCTTCTCTGAAGAAAAGTTGAACCAACATCCCATCTCCCCTTCTACCTGACAAATCCGATCTCTTTACTTAAAGTAAATAACTGAATACATTTGCCTTAAGCTACCCTAGCTCCTTTTTAATCAGGGAAAGAAAGCACTTACAGTAATTAAAGCAAAAATCAGTGTATAAAAATCAGCTTATAAATGAGTTTCTCTGCGTTGCCAATTATTTTAAAAACATTTTTGACTGCTGAAATTAATTCCAATTGGAAATCAAGGCGCACACTACCACAGAGTGAAATTTAGGATACAATTTTTTTTCTCATCCCTACTGAGTTTACAGTCATATCTTTTCTCCTTATTTTTTTTGCTTCTGCTTGTATTGAGTCATCACTAATGAAAGTTCTAAATATAGGTATGACTAACAATGCAAACTTTAGAAGCTGTATGTAAACTACCACAAGAAAAACAGATCAGAGAGTTATGCTCACCAGAAATTCAAACAACTGTTGCCAACCACTACACACGAGTAATGATCACTGCATTTTTCTCATTAGAAAGGCAGCTGTCATATAGCTTACGGTTTGGACAGAAAGAAATAAGTTAGCATATTGCTTAAGAGCTGTCTGCTATATCCCTAAATGTGACTCTTTTGCTGCATTTTGCCAAAAATATGCTAGAACATAAAATCCTTCATTCTGCAGAATAATAAATGTCATGTTTCCATTTCCCACTGTCTTGTCAGACTGTTTAAGATAATCAGGATCAAATAAGACACACACGGTGTGCTCAGGACCTCAGATCTCAGCGCGGTGGGTTTGACACTGCCAAAGACAAGTGACAAGCTGAGCAAAGACTTAGATGCTTGGTAGCACTGCTGAAACCATCACAAGGATCCGGTTCATATCTTTCAGCCACCGCTTTTGACAAGAAGCTCCCGATATCACCTGAGAACTCTGCTATCAGGCAATAACACCTACAGACTGTCACAGAGATATGGTCAGGAGCAACAGCAATCAGCCCGCATGCCCAAGCAGAGGCACGTAAATCAGCCTGGTGTCATGAGATGGAAGACCCAGATCTACCACGAGTTCTGCAAAATGCCAGCAAAAGCAATGCAGAAGTTAGTTTTTAGTGTGTGTTGCTTGTTTAATCATATCCTACTGACACCAGTCTTAAGGAATGAATGAATGCTTCTCTTTTGTTCCAGGGACTTTCTGCAGATGGAGTGGAAGGAAAGCTGCTTAGCACTCATTACAGTTGGGACCAAAACAAGGATATGTCATCTATATTTTATCCATAGTGCCTGCAAGTTTTCTTTAAAAAGCCCAGAAACCTGTAATTCTGATTTTACCCATGGATGGTTGTTGCAAAAAGAAGTTCACTTTTCCCCAGTCATTCTTCACCACTAATTCTCCCAAGGTCAGTTCAATCATCCCCACAATCGCAATACGCTGCCAGGCAGAAAGAATCAGGGTTGATTATTTTTTGCATATAGTGTAATTAAGTATCCTGTGTTTTGAGATGCAACTTATCACCAAATTGTGTGAAGAAGTAAAAGCTAATTTGCAAATAACTTGACCAAAATCTAAACAGTACTGATGCTGGATTTAGTAAACTCAGTGATGCTGAATTCAGTGGAAGTCTACCATCCTGTGTGGACTTTCACTGGGAGTCTTCTGGTCTTCCCTGTCTTACTGTTATTGTATTCAATGCTGTGATGTCTGAACCCATAAGGATAGCTTTGAAAAAAATCTGTCAGCTTGAGATGAGATACTCAGTGGGATTTTCAAAAGAGCTTATGTATTTTTTTTTTACCTTGGCGTTTATAAAACTGCCACATTGATGAGAATGATTCCCCAAGTTTTGCTATACCATATGGTCCATGTGCTGTTAGGAGGCCATCTACTGTGTTTCCTTGTTAGTCATTCAACTACATATTGCGTCCATCTGCAGCTCTCATATGTAGCTTCACTGTAATTGCCCTTTTCAGAGCAGTGTATTTCATTCTGCTTTGTGCCGGCTTGTGATAATGTTCTTTCCAAGACATGCTTCACCATATACTCCTTAAAAGGTGCAGCAGTGCCGTGCTGAATGGTGCAGTAGATGCGTACAGAAGGCTCAGTTATGATGTAAAGGAAGAGGAGGACTGGTGTTTAGCTTGGGGATGAAGAGAGCACATTCCTTTCCTTGCTCTCCTCCCCATGAAGTTGACCTCACCAAAGCACTTCAGCTATTCCAGAGATGCAAGGGACGTCCTCAGCCAGCCAGGCTTGCACTTCTCTTTCACTGCTGCCACTCTGCCATGCTTCAGAAGGCCCTGTCCCAGCTCAGTGCCTCCTGAGAAGTGTTTAACAAAACCACTACCTCGCAGCACCTTCAAGATCCCTGGAAGCAGCAATATGAGCGCCATTCACGAGAAGCTGGAGCCATGGGTGTGTTATAATCCTGGAGCCACCACACACAAGTGCATTCACATCACACACTCC